CGGGGGGAAGCGGGGGGAGCGGAGCCGCCGGGCAGAGCCCAACCGGAGCCGCTGCCTCGGACACGGCCGAGGAGGAGGATGGCGTTACCGTGGCAACCGGCATCTCCGAGATTGCCATGGGAACGGGGCAGCGGGATGCGGAGCGGTGCCCGGGGGAGTTCTGCCCAGGGGGGAGACCCCGCTCCACACCCCCCCCTCTCCCTTATGAGCTGAGGGACCCCCGGGCTTCAGGGCTTTTGGGGGCTCCGGGGCAGGTTCAGGGCACATCTGAGTGCTCCAGCCTGGGGGGCTGGGGACCCCCCGGGGCTTTGGGGCTCAGCCGCAGCTCTCGGGCAGGACAGCGGGAACACGAGTTCCTCCCCGTCTACCTGAGACAGAGGCACCGGGAACCTGGAGATGTTGTTGGTACTGTTGAAGTGCTTCAGCATGGACTCGGGGCTACTCGATACAGCCCAAGGGTCAGGATGAGTAATATTAACAGAGAGAGGTGTTTTAAGGGCTAACAAATAAAGAGAGAGGTGTTTTACGTGCTAACAGATAAAAAGAGAGCTGTTTTAGTGGCTAACGAATACAAAGTGAGGTGTTTTAGGGGCTAACTAATAAGAAGAGAGGTGTTTTAGGGGCTAACTAATAAAAAGAGAGGTGTTTAGGGGCTGGGATGGGCAATTGGACAATCCGGTCCCCGCAAAGGCCAAACATGTGGCTCTCTCTCTGAAAATGGAGTTGTAGAGAAGGTGCGGTGGGTCGGTAACTACCAGGACAAGTGTTTGTAGAGGATTTGGCTTTGCAGATCGGGAAGCCCAGATGGGAAAGAACATCTGTGAGCCGAGCGCGTGGAGCTCTGACCGTGGGAAACCAGCACATCCCTGGCAAAGGGACACGGCGCTGGTGGTGGGAGCCAGGGTCACGGTGGCTCTGAACCCCCTCACCTGGGTCCATTCCCTCCCCTTCAGCAGCTCCTAGAGCCTCAGTGATGCTGGATAAAAGGCAGAGTGGAGAGGAAAGCTGGTGACTTCCACTGAGCTGCTTTGTAGCTCATGGGAGTGGGGGGACAGCGGAGTCTGTCTTCCCACAGTGATGCACTTGGTGTATCGGCACCTAATTCCATCAGCTCAACTTAGCACACACGGACTTTACAAACCTGATTTCCTGGTTTATTCTGACAGACAGCTCAGCCCAGACAAGCCCAGCTCTAGTTCAGTGTCTAGCAGCTGTATTTGGAGGGTTTTTTTCTCCCCAGAAAAGGCTGTGACGTGATAGAAGCTCCTCATCCTCATGTCTGTTCTCATCCTCTCCTTCTGCTAACAATTGAAGGCTACAGCATAACGTCATTTTTCTCTTAAAATATCAGATTTGCTACCTAGTAATAGCATACATACGTAGAATGGCTGTAGGACAAGAAAATATTTTTAGATAATAAAGAGAGAAAGAATTACTGAAATGTGAAGGTTTATGGGTAATAGTAATGCTTGGCTTTATAACTCCTGAAGGAAATCTAACTCTTGATATGGGCTTTTATGACACCTGGAAAATGAGGGCTTGCTCCTGAGTTTCCTTGAGAGGTGCTGAGCGTCCTCCACTTGAACAGAATCTTGTGATCGTCCCTGAGCTTGTTGTAGTGTATTTAGACTCTGTTTTCCATGGAAAATAAGTTTGTTTGCATCTTGTGAGAGTTGCTGAGCTTGATCTGATAGTCTGGGCCTGTCATCTCCAGGAGAAATCCCTGAGTTTCCCAAAGTCAGGACTGCTGTATGGTCTTCAGGAATCTCATTTATAGAATGAAGTGTAGCTTTGACTGAAACTGGTGGAATTTTTCCCTTGATTTAAACTGGGCTTAAGTAAGAACTTTGTTTAAAAAAAAAATAAATAAGTTGATGAAGTTGTGAGAAATGGGGAGCCCAGCAGATAGTGCCCAGTAACACTGGCTGGTTGCTGGTCTCTTTGCATCCCTGAGGCAGTGCCTGTGCCTTCTGGGGCACATTTGATTTGCAAAGGTATTTGCTGCAAAATTTCCACCCAGCAGTTGTGTGCAGGTGAAATCCTCACCAATTCAGGAGGCAAAAAAGCATTTCATGGCACCCATCTATCCAACAGTAATTGGGCTTTTCTGCTTAACATTCAAATGCTCATAATCAAATTGCAAAGTTACAAAATTGAAAGTTGCCAAATATGTGCTAAGAATGGACAATTTGAGAAAGCTGTCATCTGTTCACAGATATGAGGAACAGCGACTACATTCTCTCCTACATTTTCAGTATGTTCTGTCTTTGTAAGATAAAATCTATAGATACATGAAAATATTCATGTTTTAAACCATATCATGGGACTTGGAAACCATATTACCCAGACTTTTAAACCACATCGTTGACGTGGAAAGGTTCCTTTGTTTCAGAAAATAATAAAACCATTTCTAGAAGCTGATTTAAAACAACACCCCCTTTTGTTTCGGAGCATGACTCCTTCAAAGTGGATGAGTCTTTTAGTAACATAATAGTTACAACTCTGAGGAGATACATAGCAAGAAAATAATTTCAGTTATAGATTTTTATATGTGATTAAATGGTCTGGCTTCAAACCTATTTTTAGAACTCTTTTTGTGGTTTGGAGTAATAATTATAAAAACCCACTTAATTTATTTTAGTGGTCTTAAGCACCATTTCACTCTTATCTCAAAAAGACAAATCTAAGACACAAATGTGCAAAAGCTGAAAATACCTTGAACAGCCTCTCAAATTGCTTTTGACATCAATAAACATTTTGCAGAGTAAATTTCAGGTCAACTGAAATTTGCCATGAAAATGTTTCTCAGCCACATCCATAAAACAACCTGTATGCTGGATTTTGAGCAGTCACCTATTCAGTATCCCAAATTCTAAGATTTCAGACAAAATTGTTGAAACATAATGGCAATGTTTTTTGCCATTATGTTTCAATAATCTTCTATGTTGCAAATAATCTTCTAACCAAATTATTAGGTGTTCTTCAGTATTTTCCTGTTTTTCTTCTTTGGGACAAGATTTGACGACAAATTAGCATCGTAATGAGAACTGGAGTGATGCGGTTTAGGGATCCAGCATATGATCTTTATTTGGAGCTGCAGTTGTCTTGGGGATGAAATCATGTTTCAGTACTAGTAGTCGATACTACTATGGAGCTTAGTCACTCACGAAGTAGCGTTAATGATACATCAGTCAAACTCCTGCCTGTATAATCCCAGTTTTGTTCTTTTAGTGTATTTGTCAAAGGTGGAGGTAGGAGGCTCATTGAGTGGATTTTAAACAATAGCAGTATTTCTGCGTGGATTTTTAAAATGTATATCCAAGGTATTTGCCTTACGTAGGAAAGTGTTTAAAATAATTGTTGGTATGAATGTGCGTATAGCAGAAGTGGATGTTATTCGACTGAGTTTCTGCAATAAAATGGCCCAGTGGCTCCCTGGTAAAACTGGTTTTTTGTTTTCGGGGGTGATGGCATCTACAATAACTGTGGTTTTGACAGGTACAAAGTTGAAACTATCACTGGAGGAAGAAGTTTTGGATCAAGCCCCCATGCAGCCATCCCAACCCAACCTGAAATGTGCACCCTAACTCACAAATTAATAAAAGCAGAAAATCAGCCCCGTTTCAAGTGGCTGCTGTTATGTCCTGTGTCCACACTTAAACTACAGCAGTTGTCACAAACTGTGAGTCCCTGTGAAGATGGTGAAGACCAGGGTCTTGCAAACACAGCAAATGCTGTGTCTTACGAATAATCCTTTTGTGATCAAGCTAACGTGAGAGAGAGAGATTAAACCATTGTCATTTTCCAGCAGCCCCTATTCCTGCGGTAAACGTGCAGCACAACTATGTGAGCCTTGCACAGTCTTAGTCATGAGGAGCATCTGCTATTAAAATATTTCCCTAGAAGAAAGAAAAAGATTTTTAAAAGACCACTTTATCCACTGAAACGGCTTATCTTGGTGAACAATCGTGCTGGAGTTAATAGGCCAGCTCACAATAGAGAGCTCTGCAGGCCCTGTGACATCAAGATAGGAAATCAAGTAATGTGCTTGTAAATTAAATTTATTCAAAGAGTGTTTTATTAAACACTTCAGCATATGAATGTCTTTGAACCCATAGTGTCTACTGCTTTCAGTATTCCCTGTTTGCCATTTACTTTTCAAGTGGTGCAATTGATTATTTAATTAATTCACGTGGAACCATGTGTCCTTCCTGACTGGGTGGCAGGAACATTTATAATTGGGAGGAAGGATCGAATAAATCATTTATGACTTGAAAACTTACACAAATGCACATTTGCACAATTATTTGCAAGTCTTCTGGCTTGGCTGAGTACGTACAAGCATGGGAACTGCAGCACGCGCGTGCGCTGCTTCCATGGATACTCCTGAAAACAAAATAAAAATCCTTTTACAAATGTTTGAAGCAAGCAAATAAAGGAAGGCTGCCATCCATCAGTTCATGGCTCATCCAGAATGAATTAATGTTCTTTAGTCTTCTCAGAGCAAGGCTATGAAGTCCGAGCACCACCGCTGTTGGGAATAAGCTCAACACAACGTAGACTTTGTATTCAAATGCTAGTGCCAAAGTTTTATTTGTCAAAGAGCAAATGTTATATCACTTTAATATCAGACAGGATCTGCCTTGGAGGTTATATCCACAGACACAAGGAGATGGATTAAGGGGTGTTTGGTCTTCTCAGTGTTTACAGGCGTGTGAGCCTATATTCACCCTATGGAAGAAGGTAGCTGTCAACGGAGAGCACAGAAATGGGTGTCTCTGCTGTGAAAAAATCACTCTCTGTGTGCTGTAGCCTATTTCTTGGACACTACATACGTATTTTGTATATACACTATAGGTCCTGAAGAGTGAACTTCCATCCGTAAATCTTTCAAAAGAAATGTAAACATGTTAGAGAAGAACTTTTCTGAGATTCAGCCCATGTTCTCATTCTTTCTTTCCATACATCCTGCTCACACCATCTCCATTTCCTTGGTGAAACACCTGCTGTTGAGAAGATGCCCGTGCTGCACTCATTGTTTTTAAAAGCAATTCTCAGAGCTCCAGCATCATCTTTGCACAGTGTTTGAAGCAGTGCAGTTTTGTCAGCAATTGATGGAGTGATTTTTGACAGCCTTTTGAGGTTATTTTTTTTTCAAGAGCATTCCATTTTCTAGAGAGACTTTCTGAATTTCGAGCAATCTTTCGGGATGCAGAGTTCAATCTCTTCAGAATATTGTCCATAGCATAACGTATTTTAAATACTGAGAAATTTTGTGCTGGAGGAACATTCAGCAGAAGACGGGCTACGGCAGTATCTATTCTCAAATAAAAAAAACACGGATCTCCTAAATGCAGCTCTTTGAACATTTGTAAGAGAGGTTCTCAAATGACCGTATTGATGTA